GACCTTCCACAGCAAGTGCTTCAGGTCCTCTTCAGTTTCAGCAAGCAAGGTTGTGTCATCTGTATAATGCAGATTGCTGATGATTCTTCCTCCAATCCTGATGCCACATTTCTCCTCATAGAGCCCAGCCTCCCGGATAACCTGTTCTGCATAAAGATTGAAAAGGTACAGAGACCCAATACAGCCCTGGCATACACCCTTCCCAATTTTGAACCATGCTGTGTTTCCTTGCTCTGTTCTGACTACTGCCTCCTGGTCCAAATATAGGTTTCACATTAGCACAATCAAGTGTTCTGGGATTCCCATTCTTCTCAGAGTTAGCCACAGTTTGTTATGATCCACACAGTCAATTGCCTTTGCATAATCAATGAAACAAAGATAGACATTCTTCTGGTGCTCCTTGCTTTTAGCCAAGATCCTTCTAACATTAGCTACAATATCCCTAGTACACGGCCCCATCTAAATCCAGCTTGCACTTTTGGTAGTTCTTTGTTGATGTGCTGTTCCAATCATTTTTTTATAATCTTCAGCAAAATCTTGCTTGCATGTTATATTAATGATATTGTTCAATAATTTCCACACTCTGTGTCTTTGGAATGGGCACAAATATAGATCTCTTCCAGTCAGTTGGCCAAGTGGTTGTTCTCCAGATTTCTTGGAACAACTTGGTGAGCACATCTAGGGTAGCATCTGTTAATTGAAATATGTCAATTGGTATGCCATCTATTCCTGGGACCTTATTCTTAGCCAATTCTTTCAAAGCAGTCTGAGCTTCTTCCTTCATCACCGTAGGCTTTTACTCATCTGTTGTTTCTCTAAATTCTTCTATGTCTGCCAGTTCTTCTTGGTGTAATGACTCTGTATACTCTTTTCATCTTCTTTTAATACTTGCAGTGTCACTTAATATTCTGCCCAAAGCATCCTTAAGTATTGCAACTCAAGGCTTGAGTTTCCTCTTCAGTTCCTTGAGCTTAAGAAATGCTGAGCAAGTTTGGCCTCTTTTATTTTCTGACTCCAGCTCTTTGCACTTTTTTTCAGAACCATCTGAAATAAGAAGGTTTCCCTAACATTAGAGCTTTATATTTGAACTTACAGGCCCCTAAGCTCAAGGGACACTGATCACAGCATAAGAAATCGGCAACATCTTGATGAATTTGGAATCACAGAAACCCACAATCCTTGTAAGCTGTCAGATCAAGGGGTATATAGCAGGCGATATATGAAGGGAGTAGGTGGGCATAAAAGGGAAAGATAATAGAGAAACCAATATTTTCAGTTCAACCAAGGACAGAGACAGACCACAGGTGGACACATATTTTATCAGGATTCACAGAAAAAGTGTTGAAGTTGTTGAGGATTACTTAGATCTGAAATCCTAGCCATGAAAGCAGTAGTTAGAAAATAAAATGATGCATTGCATTAGAAAAATCTGCTTCGAAAGACTTTTAAAAATATTAAAAAGCAAAATTTCATTTTGATGACTAACCTGACCCAAGTCATGGCATTTTCAATTGCTTTTATTATAGGCATGCAAAAAGTAAATACTGAGTAAGGAAGACAGAAGCAGAATTGATTCATTTGAATTATGGTACTAGCATAAAATATTGCAAATACCAAAAAATTGACTGCCAAAGAATGACTAAGCCTGTCTTTGAAGAAGTACAGCATGAATACTTCTTTTCCTTTTAAATTGTTTTAAAAATTCTATTATTATTTTGTGTGTATGTACCATCAAATCAGTATGAGTACTTCTTAAAAGTGAGGAAGGAAGGACTTTGTCTCACTTTGAAGATGTTATCAGGAGAGACGAGTCCTTGGAAAAAGACAACATGCTTGGTAAAGTTGATGGTTAATGAAAAGGAAGTAGACCCTTGATGAGACAGATTGGCACAGTGGTTGCAACAATGGGCTTAAATGAAGCTAATATTATAAGAATAGGTCAGCATCAAACAGCATTTTGTTCTTTAGGACACAATGCCACTCTGAGCAGGAACTGACTTGTAGGCACTTAACAACAACAACAAAAGAAACACTTCACCTTAGAATGCCACAGGCTACACGGACAAGGGTCAAGAAGAAGCAGTGACTTAAAACAAGTTTAGACGAGTAGAAACAGGCCCAAATATGCCAGCTCAACTCAAGGCTAAGCTCCATTCAGATATGCAATGGACAGATCTACTAGAAACAAACAAATAAAAGCCTCCCAAAAACCCAACCACCAACTTTTTAAAGTGTTCAAAAGGCAAGAATTTGCTCAGCATTTTTGAGCTTAAAGAACTAAAACCCAAATTTGAGCCTCTGGTTGCAATACTTAAGAGATGCTATGGGTAAAATCTTGAATGGTCTAGGTAACATTAAAAAAGATGGAGGGAATACATAGAATGACTGTAGTAAATAGAATTGGATAACACTGAATCATTTCAGGAAGTATGGTATGACCAAGAGCCAATGGTAATGAAGAAAGAAATTGGAGCTACATTGAAGGCAATGGTGAAAAATAAGGCCCCAGAAAATGATATGATACCACTTGACATGTTTCAAATACAAGATACAGCCCTAGACATGCTACCAAGTCAAAGCCAGAAAATATGGAGGATGGTTTCCTGGCCAACTGACTGGAAGAGATCCATACTTGTTCCTATTCCTAAGCGAGATGATACAACAGAATGTAGAACTTATGAAACAATACCATTAACATCAATTGCAATCAAAATGCTCCTGAAGATCTTTCAAAAACAACAGTATATAGACAGAGAACTGCCAGAAGTGCAAGGTGGATTTAGAAAAGGCTGTAGCACCAGGGCTGTCATTATTGATGTCAGCTGGATCCTGGCTTAAAGCAAAGAAGTCTAGAAGAATGTTTCTTTGTGCTTTATTGACTATGCAAAGACATTTGATTGTGTGTATAATGACAAATTATGGGTAATGTCAAGACGAATGGGAATCCCAGAACATTTTATTGTGCTCATGCAAAACTTGTATCTAGTATAAGAAGTTGTGTGAGCAGAACAAGGGAACACTCTATGGGTTAAAATTAAGGAAAGCATGTGTCAGGTTGTATTCTTTCACCATACTTATTCAATCTGGATGCTGAACAAGTTACTGGAGAAGCTGGACTCTGTGGGGAAAAAATGTGGCATCAGTATTGGAGGGTTGGACTCACCAATAACCTTTGTTATGCAGATTACACGGCCTTTTTTGATGAAAGTGAGGAGGACTTGAGGCAATTAATTGCTGCAGAATGTCAAACACTGTAGCCTTCAATATGGATTGCATTTTGGTACCAAGAAGACAAAAATCCTTGCTGCTGTACTGATTGATGGGCAACCTTATGATGGACAGAGGAAAGATAGAAACTGTCAGTGACTCCATCTTACTTGGATCCACAATCTGCACACCCTGTACTAGCAGTCAGGAGGTAGGAGATGGATTGCACTGGAAAAGTGTATAGTCAGGGACTTCTCCAAATTATTGAAGAGCAATGAAGTTAGTTTGAGGACTAGGTTTGCCTGGTGTAGGCCATGATCTTTCTGATCACTTGCTGTCTATCTGAGAGCTGGACAATGAATAAAGATGACTATAAAAATTGATGCCTTTTAACTATGATGCTGGAGAAGAATACTGAATATCCCATGGACTGCCAAAGGAACAACCAGAAGGTACTCCAAGTATTCCTTGGAGGCAAAAATGATGACACTTCATTTCACATATTTTGGGCATGTAGCTAGGAGAGGCTTTCCTTTGAGAGGGGCATCATGCATAGAAAGGTGAAGGCTGGTGAAGGAGAGGAAGGCCTTCAACCAAGTGGACTGACACAGTGACTGCAGCAAAGGGCTCAAGTATGTCAGAGATGATGATGATGATGATGATGATGGCACAGACTAGGTTGGAATTCAGAGTTACTGTTTATAGAGCCACTATGAGTCATAGTCAACCTGATGGCACCTAACAATGACAACCACAGAAGTTAAAAGGCAAAGTTCTCACTTTAAGGATATTTACAATTCACTATTAACTATGGGGGTAGGGAGAAAAATATGAAACAATGAATGAATTTAAATCCAACTTTTCTGTAAACTTCCGTTAAAACCACAATTAAAAATAAAAGGGGAAAAAAGAAAAAAGTAAAATGATAGTTTTCATTCTAATTGCCTTAGAATATCACTGAAGGATCTTAAGTACATGGGTGATAGTATCAAATATATCTTCTTAGAAGACCACTAGATTATATATTTATCTTGTGTTATCAAGTAGATTCCAGCTCATTGCAAACTTGTATGCTGTGGCCTAGAATTTCTCCATAGTGTTTTCTTTGTCAAAATAGATTACCAGAACCTTTCTTTGTGGTGTTGGTATGTGGGTTTGAACTGACAACTTTTCTGTTAGCAACAGTGAGGTTGGCACAGGATAGAGTGGTGTTTAGGGCTCTTGTACACAGCTTTGCTATGAGTCACAAGTGATTGATGGCACATAACAACAACAGCAACAGCTCAAACTAGTTGCAACTTCCAAAGATGGACTGCAGGAAATGTAGAGTGAGATTAGGGATGTCAAGGCTGTTGTAATCTTGCAGAACAGAGACACAGATGTCTTGGACAAGGAAGTCAGCATAAGAGAGTGAGATTTTGTTGAATTAAGTGGGAGACATATTTTGGAGGAGGAGGTGAAAGAAATTGTTATTTTAGCCGATTAGAAAGAAAAGGGTAAAAGAGGAAGGAAGAGACCATGCGGGCACGAGCAAGGAAACCATTTAGGCTTATGACCTAAATGGCAAAAAGATAAATTTTGACGAGTATTTTATTTGTGTTAATCATCCTCTTTGGAATGGATAATGAAGAGTGAATACTGTATTTTAGAAATAAAGTCTTATGCCACTTGACATTTAATTATTTTTAACAATAGTGAAAACACAATGATGAATATTTACATGGATCATTTGATTTTTAGTCAGTTTCAGATATTAATATTCTGAACTAACTTTCTGTTTCTTTCTTTTTTAGGTTTATCCAGGACTTGTTTTCACAGAGGATAACAATAGCCACAGTGGATTTCTCTACAGTGTTGCCACGCTTCATCTCTCTCTATATTTTTTCCTTCCTGAATCCAAAAGATTTGTGTGCAGCTGCGCAAGTCAGCTGGCCCTGGAAGTTTCTAACTGAACAGGTTGACTCCTTGTCACTGCCTAGTCACAGAACACAAATAGAGCCACAATCAGCAGTGAGACAATTGGGGTAGCGCTCTTCCCATTCGATGACTGCTGGTGTGCCCGAACCCTAACTAACTTACCCTAAAAGAGATAAAATAGTGATAAATTCAATATAGTAATTTACTTTGTAATAAGGGAGGATGTGCTGGTCTTTCTGTTCCATTACTCAGCTTAAGAAACTTCAGTTGAGAATTTTCAAATGTTTTGTTGGTTTTTTTGTTTGTTTTTTTAAAAATGGCAAAATGATGCTAAATATCAAACTCAACCCTCTGATTTTCCTTCTCACTCAAATCTTTGTGACTCCAAGCCATTTTCCCATTTTTGCCTTGATTTCTCTGTAATATGTATATGTGTATATATGTATATGTGTGTGGGTGTACATACACATACACACACACATAATTGTTGTTGTATACTATGGAATAAAAATTGACCCATAGCTGACCCTATAGTGGGTTTTCAGAGTCAGTAAACTGCAGGGGTGTTGACATCTTTCTCTTGTGAAGGACCTAGCGGATTCAAACTGCATTGGCATCACAATCCCTTACTCTGTGGTATATATATATACACACATACATACACACACACGTATATATATGTATATATATATATATATGTGACAGCACCAGCTTTGATGGTCTAGTAGTGGTAAAGAGTGTTTTTATGTATGTGTACACACACACACACACACACGTTGTTGTTGTTATGTGTCATCGAGTCGTAGCTCTGAAGCCTGCCCTATCCTGACTGAGTCTCGCTGACTCCAACACACTTAATCCCATTGCTCCAGTTACCATGTCAATCCGTCGCATCCATGGTCTTCCTCTCCTGTGCTGTCTCTCCACTCTTCCAAGCATGATGTCTTTCTCCAATGACTGGTCCATCCCAGCCATGTGTCTAAAGTATGTGAGATGGAGTTTCAAAATCCTTGCCTCCAATGAGAAACTTGGTTTCACCCTCTCCAAGATAGACCTATTTGTTCTCCTGGCTGTTGCTGGTATGCTCAATACTCTTCTCCAGCACCACAACTCAAAGGCATCAATTTTTCTTCTTCCTATATAATTTTTTCCAGAAGATTATTTTTCCCATAGGACAGCATGTTCTTCTTCTCAGGGTCAAGTTCAGATGAGAAGTCATCTGTGACAAATCTCTCCATAGTATAATAATTTTCCAAGTACCTGAAAACACTACTACTAGAAAACTGTCTTTTTTCCCCTCTCCTTTTTTAAAAATTAATTTTAATAAATGTTTAGAGATATTTTGGATTTCCATTCATTCCTTGTTGCACTTTTCTCCCTGCCCACCCCTCCCCCCCAGTTCGCTCCTCTCTCTGAAAGTAAAAGAAAAAATCTTTCACTGATATACAATCCCCCCAACCCCTGCCCCGAGTACACTCCACTATGCAACCTTCATTCTGGACTTTTGTCATAACCATAATACACAATCATATATTGCTTTTAAACTGTTCTCTCCCTCATCTGTTTCAATGCAGTATACCTAATTTATCCAATTTTTCTTAGTCTTACCCAACCCTGAGGTTTACTACTTGTTTTTCTCTTGGTTCATTTTCTGAAGGATTGCTTATGGAGACCCAAATGCATTAAGCTCGGATGGTTTCTGCCCTACACACCAACGGGTAATGAGTATGGTGCTTGGAAGCACCATTACATTGCCTGTGTGGCCAGCTTAGACTGGCTAACTCCTCGGGAGGCTGCAGCTGTTTATGGAACCCTCAACGAACCCAAGAGAGGAGAAGAGGAGCTGCAGGAACGAGAAAGAGAAAAATGCTTAAGAAAAATGCTTTGGGAGAAAATTGTACTACATAAAAGTGAGTAATGTTTTTCTGGTTATCCTCTCACTCCTGAGAAGTAGATATTATAAATAGTGTGATGTGTATCATTTTACATGCATACATACATATATACATATATACATATATTTTCCTTTTTGCAAAACCAGCTCATACTGCACTTGCTGTCCTGAGTTACTTTTTAGGTACCTTTTCGTATCCAATGGAACTCTGGTGGCTTGGTCTGTAGGGAATTGCACTGTTAATCTAAACACCATGCTTGGAGGCTCAAATCCAGGAGCAGCTCCATAGGAGAAAGATGAACAATCTCTTCCCATGTGATTTACAGCCTCTGAAAGCTGCTGGAGAGTCAGCTAGGACTTCATGGCAATGATTTTGACTTCCCCCCACACCCGTATTCTTATTTTTCTAGTTTTTTAACTATTGTAAAATTTAGATGAAAGTTATTATTTCTATGGCCTTTATTAACATTCAGTATTATTTACAATTGTTAAGTCCTTCCTGAAAAGATTTAAAAAATGTGTCTTATTATTTTTGTGATGAGCAGGGCTGTGCAGTTTTAATAAACATTAAATAAGATGACTGTTCATCCGATCTACATTTTCATGTAGACGAACTCTCTATGGGATTAATTTACCCAACTCTCTGTGGGATGAATTTACCCAACTCTCTACGGGATGAATTACCACATTTTATTGATTTTTAAAAAATGTATTTGTTTGTTAAATTAGCTCTTTCAGAAAGAAATAAGGAATGATATTTATAGACTTCATATCTTATCCAAGCATTGTGTAAACACATGGATTTATAAACAAGTTGATTTACATATAAATTCCCAGAGAAGATGATAGTGTGGTGCTATCGTTGTGGAATCTCTTGTGGATTGTTGTTGTTGGGTGCCGTCAATGAGTTGACTACGATGCATTGCAACTCTTGAGCAACAGAGTGAAGCAGGTTGAAACTTTACTCCGTCCTGAGTCACCTCAGGATCTCCGACATGATCTCAAGGGAGTCACTGTGCCAAGCCATCTCATTGAGAGTTTTCTTCCTTTTTCCTGACCCTTTGCATTTCCAGCACGATGTCTTCATCCAGGGACTTGTGCCTCCTGACAACATGCGAGATGTTGTTGGATGTTCAAGACAAATGCTCTTCCTCTTTCTCCCTTTCTTCTTCACTGTATATGTCAAGTTACTTAAGAATGAAATAAAAAAAAAGATAAAGGGCAAGTATCAGTGTTTCCAATGTCTCAGGTTTGTAAGACTAAAATCAAAGAAGTGAGAGAACCCAGATTACAGCAAAAAAAAATTCATCAATGCAGCAAAGAAGAAGTGGGACTGGTGAAAATGAAGAAATGAAGATGGCAACAGTGGAGAAAGAGAACCAGACAGGCCTTCTGATTTGTGCAATATTTGCAAGTAGGCGACAAAAGCACCTGGAGAGCAACATTTGACCAAAAACAAAGCTCAAAAGACAGGAAGGGGCAGGAAAGTAGGCTGGATGGAAATAAAGGCCGTGGAGAGGAAGTGGGACGAATGCTGTTACATTGTGGAGACTTGGAAACAACATGTGCATAAACTGTTAAGTGGAAAATTGACTTGTGCAATGAACTTTTGTCCAAGGTGTGTGGTTCAAATCCACCAGATGCTCTGCTGGGCATGGAGGGGCAAAATCTCCTATGTCAGTCAGATCTGACTCAATGAGATACAACAAGAAAGGACGAGAAAAAGAAAAAGCCATTAATAGAGTTCACATGTTACACAAAATCTACACAGGTAGACTGTAAGCAAAGGAAAAGCTGTTAAACTAATAATTTAAATTCTTATCTAACTTGTCTAGAAGTTTGACAATATTCATATTTAGTAACATTATAGAGTTATTATAGTGTATTCTCATACACAACTGATGTTGTGTACCATCAAGTCAGAACCGACCCATAGCTGACCTTCCAGTGGGTTTTCAGAGGTAATTAATTACATGGGAAGAGTTTGTCCATCTTTCTCCCACAGAGCACCTGGTGAATTCGAACCATATACTTTTGCATTGGTAGCACAATGCCTTACCACAAAAACCACTTCCATTGCTGATGGAAATACATGATGGTGCAACATCTAAAAAGGGAAACTTAGGTTTATCTACCCGTATGTGTTTATCCTCCCTCAGTAACCCCATTTTCAGTATGTATCCTGAAGCTACAAAAAAATCACACACACACACACACACACACACACACACACACACCCCAAGTGGCATTCTCCCTTTCTGTTTTTCACTGACTCACCTCCTATTGAGATTTGAACAAGAAGGAAATTACTTTCAGCCAAGAAGGGTAGAAATGGATGGGAAGGCTATAAAGGGGATTAATTGGTCTCTGCAAGAACCAGGTTGCTTGTTCTTTGAGCTTTGTTTCTTGACCTGAAATGACTGGTAACTTTCAACCACAGTATTGAGAGGATAAGAAATCCCAACAGACACTGTGAAAATGGCTTTAATTATTGTCATTTGGAGCCCTTCCCTGGCACAGCTTTATCTGTGTGGCCTTGGCTGGGAGAAACACGAAGCAAACAGCTGAGGCTTGCTGCTGTTTGTTTTTCAGAAGAGTTATTCAAAGCTCGGCCCCCTTGGGTGAGTGGAACATGCTGCTCCAGATTCCTCAGATCCAAATGCCAACCACGTCTCTCCCAGACTGTGAGGGATCGAGTGAGATTACACGGAGCTTTGGAGGAACAGCTTGTTTTGGCTTCCTTGGACTCTTTGCCCAAGCGGTAAGCAAACCTCCAGTTGCTGAAGCCTCAAAACCATGCCATGATCCCAAAAGTTCACTCCTCAGTAATCTGACAAACATACAGGAATCTGTTTATAAAATTATATTATTTGGGTTCTATGAAATATCAATAGGAACAATTTTTAAGTCATCATGGACAGCAGTCTTTATCATGCTTTTGGAAGAGCAAAATAGATAACTTTCAAAATGTAGGTTTTAAATATTCTCAATCCTGCAGAGGCTACCTTGAGTATTTAGTGCATTTTCTGTGGAATGTTACTGAGGAAAAATATTATTTTTCCACAAATATTTTTTTATACAGTAAGAGTGTCCAAATCATGGTGTGTATTGGGGGAAGGGAGATGATAGTTGTAAGAAGAAAGATGTTACTCAGAGTGACCAAAGGCCCTGATCATTGAAATTTTAAAAACTAAAACACAAGACAAAAAACTCAACTTTCTGTTCCAGGAAATTAGGACTTTCACTGTCAACACAAAGGCTGATGGTTCAAATTCACCAGCTGTTCAATGGGAGAAAGAAGGGCTATCCTTCCTATTTGATTTATAGCCTCTGAAAACCTGCTAAAGGGTCATTGGTTCTAACTGGACAACAATGAGTAATAGTAGTAGCAGTATCGTTATTGAGAATGTACGTGGCAAACCATACAGTAACTCCAGTTTCTGCATGTACAATGTAGTGACATTGTTTGCATCCTTTGAAGGAGCTCTGGTGGTCTGTTCCATAGGAGGTTAATTGCAGTAGCTCCATGAAAGGAGGGTGGGTGATCTCCTCCTGTGTGGTTTACAGCCTTGGAAAACCCACTATGAGCCAGTTTTGACTTTATGCCAATGAAGGTTTTTTAAGTTTTGTTTACAATTCTTTGAGTTTTCCAACCATTCTTATCTCCACCCCCCCTTTTTTTTTCTGTTGTTGTTGTTAGGATGTGGGGAGATCAGAAAGTACTGCTGGGGAAGTAGAGGAGAGAGACTGCTACAGTCAGGAGAACATTTCAGTGACTTAGGGATAATGCATTTCTTTCCTTCTCTTATTTTTATTGGTTTGCAACAAGTCATTCATATACATTTTGTTTCATGTATGTACATTGTGTTTTATACAATCTTTTACATAGAGTTTTATACAATCTCTTACATACATTGTGTTTTGTGCTTTATATAATCATTCACATATACATTGTATTTTTATATAGTTATTATTATTGTTCTATGCCTATTATTACCCACCTTTTCATGTCCCCATTGAATCTCTCTTCCTTCTCTCTGTCTCTCTCTTTCTCTCTCTCTCATCTTCCCATTAACTTCTACTATCCTAATGATTTCAATCCCTCCTCTTTTTCCATCTCCTTACCCCATTTACCTTCTCCTTTCGAACAATTATACAAATCTTGCTCATTTATCCTTCTATTTGTACAATAATGGATTTAGACAGTATTTGCCCTTTTGAGACTGAGTTTTTTCAACTCAGCATAATTCTTTCTAGACTCTTGCATATTACATAGTATTTTACAAAATCATTGCTCCTTAATGCTGTGTACTACTATACCATTGTGTGAATGTACCTCAGTGTCTCAATCCATTCTTTTGTTGATAGGTACTTGGGTTGTTTCCATTTTTTTTACTATTGTGAATGTAAAAAGATTAAGGGCCATACCTGACCTTCACCAGCTTCACAAAGGGGAACTGTCCCTGTCACAATATCAACAAAACGAAACCAATTTTCAGGAGTTCAGACATGGTCCCCCACACTCCTAAACCTCTTTCTACTTATCTCAGAACCAATCTTACTGCTTCATTGGTTCCAAAATCTAATATGATAGCTCACAGACTACACAGAATTGTACTGGGGAAGTCAAAAGGCTATACTTTAGGTTACTAGCATACAGTTAAGACAACTTCCAGAATGTACTGAAGGCACACATTGGGCCTTGTGGCTTTAAGCCAGTATTAGCAAGTTCTCAGTCCTGCTAATATTGGCTCTCCTCAACCCCAACCCTCCAACAAACTTGGGCAAAAGGCTTTAGCTCTGATTCAATAGTGCAAGAGTTCCAAGATCTGTTTCATCTCATGACAGGTCTCTGGTTCTCTGCTATGATTATTATGGCTGTTGTTCCTACTGTAGGCTCTAGTCTGACTGGAGCAATAATTTCTGGATGCATTACATTCTCTTGCTTCTACTTTGCTGGAGGTGAGGTTTCTCTTTTCTGCTGCTGGATCTGTTTAATTTAATGGTGAGACTAGCCAGTCCCATTGTGGATAGACTAATATACCCTATTTGCATATTCCCATCCATATATCAAAGCCAAATTCAGTGGCTAAGAAAGCCATTTTGAATGCCAGACTTTTCACACCACAGTGAGTAATGCTGCTGTGAACATATGTACATATAGCTCCATTTGTGGCTCAGTTATCTTATCTTTGAGGTTATTCCTAGCAGTAGAGTAGCTGGGTCACACAGGATTTCAATGTTTAGCTTTTTGAGGAAACACCAAGTTGACTTCCAGAGTGGCTGTAACTTTTCACAATCCCACCGACAATGCATAGTAGTTCCAATCTTGCCACATCTTCTCCAACATTTATTGCTTGCTGCCCTGTTAATCTTTTCTACTGCTACTGGGATGGGATGATATCACTTTGTTGTTTTTATTTGCCTCTCTGAAATTGCTGGTGATTTTGATTCATGTGTCTGTTGAAAAGTCTTTCCATTTTTCCCCTTTAAAAAAAACAATTTTAATGAACATTTACAGAGACTTTGAATTTCCATTCATTCATGGTTGCATTTTTTCTCCCCCACCCCCGAGTTTGCTCTTCTCTTTGAAAAGTAAAAGAAAAATGCTTTCATTGTTATACAATCCCTCCCCCCAGGTCCACTCAACTATGCTGCCTTCATTCTGGACTCCTGTCATAACAATAATACCTAATCACATATCCCTTTTAAACAGTTTTCTCCCTCATCTGTTTCAATGCAGTATATATTATTTATCCCCTCTTTCTAAGTCTCCCCCCACCCCACTCCTATGTCAGTCCTTTTTTATAACAGTGGCATTATGTAGTATTTATCTTTTTGTGACTGAGTTATTTCACTCAGCATAATGTCTTTCAGGGTCACCCATTTTGTATAATAATAATTTTAAAAAAACCCCCAACAAAACAAACCAGGACATACATGGGGTTGGGAGGAAACTAAGAAAAGATGGGATAAATAATGAACACTGCTTTGAAACAGATGAGGGAAAGAACTGTTTAAAAGGAATATATGATTAGGTATTATTTGCATGACAACAGTCCAGAATAAGAGCTGCGTAGTAAAGTGGACTGGGAGGGAAGGAGGAAGGGAGAAAATTGTGTAACGATGAAAGATTTTTTTAATAGAGAAAAGTAAACTGGCGGGGCTAGGAAGGAAAATGTGTAGCAATGAATGAATGGAAATCCAAGTTTTCAATAAACTTTCATAAAAATCTCAATAAAATATCAAAAAATTAATAAATATTGCTAACTAAAAAAGTCTTTCCCTATCTTTTGCCCATTTTGTTATTGGGCTATCAATCTTTCTCTTTTTTAATATATATTTTTTAAAATTAATTTAAATGAAAGTTTACAGAGACTTAGGGTTTCTAGTCATTCATTGTTGCACTTTTCTACCTACCCACCCCTCCCCCCAATTCACTCTTCTCTTTGAAAAGAAAAAGAAAAACTTTTTCATTGTTATTCAATCCCTCCCCCCAGCCCCAAGTCTACTCCACTATGCAGCCTTCACTCTGGACTTCTGTAATGACAAGAATACCCATTTATATGTTCTGTCCCTCATCTGTTTCAATGCAATATACATCATTCCTCCCCTCCTTTTCTGTTTTCTGATAACCCCAATATCAGTTCCATCTTACAACAATGGCCCTATGCAATATTTGTCCTTTTGTGACTGAGATATTTAACTCAGCATAATGTCCTCCAGGGTCATCCATTTTGCATAATATTTCAATGCTGCATAGTATTCCATTTTGTGAATATACCAGAACTTCTTTATCCATTCATTTGTTGATGGGCACTTAGGTTGTTTCTAGCTCTTTGCTATTGCAAACAAAGCCGCAATAAACATGGGTGTGCATATATCTGTTTGG